TTTTTTTTTTCCAGATCTCCAAAGAGCTGATCACTTTCTATGACTCTGTGTATGACAGAGGCATTTTTCTTACAGATAGTGAGCAAAAGCAGGCTGCCGCTGCTGTCTTGAAGATCTTTCATGAGACTGTAAGTAGTCCTGATGTTCTGAGGAGCACACAATTAATTAAGCTAACACAAACTCCTCTCAAACCAAATAATAGTCCAGATGTTGTAAAGACATATTTCTAATCACTGTCTTCTCTGGTTTTCAGCTTAACTGCTGTGGCAAAGGAAACATTATTTCAAGTGCTACAATGTGGCTTTCAAACACCTGTCCTCAAGACAAAAAAACTTCTGACATAATAAGCCTCTCCTCGGTAAACCCTCATATTGAAGAATTCTCCAAATCATCCCACATAGCATGCCAATAACCTGTTTCTCCAATTTTCAGAACTGTCACACCAAGATCAAAGAGCTTTTCTCTGAGAAGATCTATTTGATTGGCATCGCTGCCTTGGTTGTCGCTATTATCATGGTGAGTGAGTCCGAGTGTGTTTGTATAGGGGCCCGTGTGTTAAGTTATATTCTACTAGCGTTTGATGTTGCTTGCATCACATTTGACCCTTATTTTACTCTCTTTTTCTAGATCTTCGAGATGATCTTCAGCATGGTGCTTTGCTGTGGCATCAGGAACAGCCCTGTTTACTAAAACAGAAGGAGAAGATATTACCTTTAAAACATCAGCCAAAAAAATATTTTGTTTTATATCTACCATTGTTTCCTAATGTAGTCACCCTATCCAGTTCCTGAGGTCTCAGAACAATTTTTGTGCATTTGTTTGGTTCAAATGTTGCAGTGGAACCACCAACAACTAGTCTGCTATTGTTTACGCTGTAGTTGGAAAAGACTAGTTGTGATCTGTAGCTATAGCAGTAGACTTACAAACACAGTACATTATCACTTGAAGAATTGATACATTTATTTGCTTGTAGTTTTTTGTGTTAACATTGGAAGTACTGCTATTGCTATCGGTTAATATCATTCTTTACGTATGTACATGTATAAACTGTATATATTTGCAGCCCTGTATGGCTCTTAAGCATGAATCTTGTATTGAACACTCCTGTCCATCTTCCTCTCTGAGACTGCTGTTTGTATATTCACGTTTCTTCCTGAGAAACCACTAAATAAACAGTGTTAGCTAGGTGAGCGAGTAAGTCAGAATAGAGTGCTTATTGGAAGTGAGAGTAAAAGGATTAATAACGTTAAAGACCCATGTATACTTCATTTTCCGCGTTCCGCTCCGTCTAGCGCACAGTTGAACGCTCAAGGCAGGGGTGTCCAAACTCGGTCCTGGAGGGCCAGTGTCCTGCAGA